CCCATCTAGCTTGGGAAGAGGGGCATGTCTTGGGGGGGGGGGGGCAGCCATGAGGGCAGGGGAAAGGGCTCAACTTGCTGAATGGAGCTCAGAGTCTGGGAATTTGGCTACAAAGAGTAGCCATATTTATTGCCACTTCTCCCCTGCCACCAAATTTCCCAGTCCTTTCCACTAATCTGTGGGGAGCCCCCTGGATTGGATACCTATGATGCCATGGGCTGGATTTGGCCTGCAGGCTAGAGGTTGAGCATACCCATTATAAATTATTTGGTTCTGTAGGCATGAAGAAAATTCTGGGTTCTATATCACTGCTTTCCAAGTTTGGATCAGTTCTAAAATAGTTTTTTCAGTCAAAATGATCAATAATTACACTACAAGTTTTCATCTAATAAGAGCTTCAGGATCAGACCTTCAAGTGTAGGTCTTTTCTTCAGATGAGCATGAAAAGACATGCTATATGTTTCAGGAAAAATGTGATGGGCCATTATCTTCTTCATACTTTGGATATTTCTGCCAATAAGCATGGGAAATTTAGTGTAGCATGAAAACAGTAGATATGATGCCTTCATGTAAAATTTTATATTGGATGCTTTAAAATAACCCCCCCTTTTCAAGTAAAAACATCATTCATACGTTGTTTATCAGGTATTTCGACATTCCTCAAGTACAGTCAAATACAACAAATATTAAAATGGAAATTCCAACATGTTAAACCCAACTCTAGGTTTATAGTGATTTTCAATACTGAAAGATGTGTGTCTATTTCTCAAATATTATATACTGGTCTAGATCCTTAATTTAGTTGTTTCCACTTGACACTAAAATGAAGAGCACCATACAAATACAGCTTGTAATATTTTGACATAGGGGACTCTTGGTCCCACTACATCACTTCTGAGTTCTCCATTTCTCCAAATCACTCAGAAGAGCAACCTTTCTTTTGTATTAAATAAGATCCATATAATCATACCGATCCTTCTCTTCCGGACATTAGAGAAAATAATGTTGTTCAGCAGGTCCTGAAACCAGAAATATGAAAGCTTTTTTCAGTCTAATCCCTTCTTTCAAGTAATACCTTGCTTCTTTAGTAGGTAATGCTCTTGTGACAGTCATTTCCAAAAGGGACCTTTATTCTAACTTCCACATCCACTGAAGAGGACTTTCATAAGGAAAATCTCTTTGGGGAAACAATAGATAATAATTTTTAGCCAGTGGAAACAGAGTACATACTTGTCAGTCAGTATACGTATACAGCATTATGAAGGTATTATGGTAGACATGTTAGCACAAGTAACAGTAGCAATAAAAGATACAGTAGGATAGGCTTCAAGTCATGACAGAATATATACCCATACCCATGTCTCCAGGAGCACTTGTATACTACTATCACACCTTCATCTGCTGTATAGATGTACCCTGTCAGAGTGACAGTGGCCCCTTCTGTCAAGGTCAACAACAATAGGTCTCTGAGTGAGGAAGTGTCAAGTTCTTCTCTCCTTGACATCTTCTGTCAGAAGACTTGACTTGCTCCATTTAGGTCAGAATAAGCTTGACAGTTTGGCAGTTACTCCTTATATTGACAAAGATGATTTCATCAAAAAGCAAACAGACTAATATTTTTATTGTATTTTGATGTTTTTAAACATATCTTCATCTAGCATCTAACAGAATCAGTATTTGATTATACTCCTTCAAAGGTGCATGGCTTAATAGTTATTCCCTATAAAAATAAGAGACACTTTCTTTGGCATACACTTAATTTGGATCTTTGAACCCCAATGGGAAAATTCTCTCTCACCTAACAGCCAACCAAAATAAAGCTTAAGACTAACTCTGAGTTATGGACCCATTGTGTAGGGGTGCTTTCATTAACTCCCATGAGCATGTAAATACTCCTATTATAGGAACAAGGAGATGTTTGTTCAGCTCTGGAGAGCAATCCTGCTTCTATAATGGAGGTGCTTACATGCACCAAAGAGGTAACAGAAGCACCTGCATACTGTAGTCAGGTAACTCACTTAGTCTCAAGCTAAATTATGATAATCTATGAAGTGAAACAGAATCTTTCCCTGCCCCCAGTATGTGTTGTATTCCACATAAGAGTTATTTGATTTGGGCTTTTGTTCCTACTTCCTTAACTCCCTTATATTTTGACAAAACAGAAAAGCACTCCATTTACTATCAGTCCCAGCTTAGTTAGAATATTTTTATTCCCTCATTTTTAAAGGCAATCTTGTATGCTACCTGTAATTTAATTTATCACAACAAGAAACTATTAAGAACTCAAGAAATTGAATGTAACAACTTAGGATCACTTAGAAATACAGGAAAACGAGTTAGCATATATGTAAAAAAGAGCTTCCCTTAGTTATTAAATTTAGGCTATGCTATTTGTGTTAGATAAAGTATTATATTTAATGTTTAACTTATTTTTAATTATGGAACAGAGTTTCTGATACAGTAGAAATTTATTATTTATAATTGATATGACAGCATATACACTTTCAAATACTATATGAATAGTACATATGCTGTTGTGAATTGGAGGAAATAAGTGATTTTGAAAGGACAGCGTACAATAAACCATAAAAAATTACTGCATCTTGAGAATGACAGAATGAAAACTATTTATAAACAAATCAAATAATTTCACCACCCAGTACAGCTGTTTATTATGGTTCCAGGTGTTCCCACTGCCACCTGCCTGTGACTTTGGATTCCTCTTCCTACTCTTTCCCACTAATTCTCTGATCCAATCAAATCTTATGTTGAAATAGCATCTAGCAAAGGAGGTTGTCACCTGCAAAACTTAATCCATTTTGAACAAATTAATCTCTAAGGTGCAACCTTACTCTACATTCTTACTGAAATACAAAAAAAATGAAGGCAGAACAGGTTAACTGGAAACTAAATTATCACATTCCATTGATAAGTGGTTGGAAAAAGAAGAATTGGTGCCTTCCTATTCCTCAGATGTGCTTCCTATGTGTAGTCATAGCTGTTCATTTTACTGACAAAAGTATGTCTAGTACTGCACTGTAAAGCAAATATAGCCTGGAAAAAGGAGACCTGGTTCTTTTCTGGTTCATACATCATCAGCAGAATCATTAACTCAAGCCCTAACCTTAAACATGTGATACCAAGTGCGTTGCTTTCTACTTTCAGTAATCCCATTGACATCAGTCAACAGTGAAGCATCATCAACAACAAGGCTATTACTTCAACAAGATTACTTTCAGTGAGAAAATCCAGATGTTGGTATTAAATATTTGCAGATTTAGGCCCTAAATTCCAGAACTGGAGTGTGTACTACTGGTGATCAAATTCAACAAGTCTCTGGCTTGCCTTTCAAATTCCACTTTCAGTGGGTGCATCTACATGTGCACTTTACTGTCAGTTGACTAATTAGCTCTGTAGTAAAGTGTCACCATCTACCTGTGCACTCATATTAGGGTGCACTAAAGTAATTAACTCTGCCCTAGGATTGTAGTGTCCAGGGCAGGTACTATCCCACAGTGGAGTAATTTACATCACTGCAATGCACATACAGATGGTAACTGAGGCTGGCTGGGGAATGAGGGTGCTACAGTGGGAGGGCTATCTGCCCCCCAGACCAGCTGCTAGCCCAGGGCTGCTCCACTCTGGCTCAATGTGCTACAGTCCTGGGTGCATGTGTAAAAGCTGCACCTGGGAGAAATTAGCTCTGGTGCAAACTGCCCTAAGTGCTTAAGTAGATACATCCAGTTAGTAGATGTGGCATTAGGACTAGCAGTTAAAACCTTTATTTCACTTGTAAACTAAATTAATTTGCTATAGAAATAATTGAATGACTAGAATGAAACTCCATGATAGCATTTTTCCAGTCATTTTTAGAGAAGTAGGGTAAATCTTTCTCTTTGAGAAGATGATTAATTTCTTAGATGTTACACTATGAAATAATGCTCTGCCAATACAAAGGTTGCACAGATTCAGGATGAAAATATGGCAACTGTTGATTGAAGGTAATGGGACTACTCCTGATAACGTGCACTCTATTTTGTAATAAATGGTAGCAGAATGAACCTTAAAATTCTGTGGATGTCATATAAATTATAAGAGCCTAGCATATTCTCTACTAGGCTCAGAACAGAAAGCTGTAATAATGGGCACCTATACGCATGTAGCGAGACTGCTCTAATGCACTGTAATTACAATGCATCAAAGGAGACTCAATTAATCGAGTCTGCTGGAGCATGGTAATTACTGCATTCGAGCAGACTCTATCATCACATGTATTAGTGTCCCCAGGCTGAAAAATAGTGGCACAGGCACTTTAACTAAAGCTCATTCAATGAGCTTTAGTTAAAGCACCCCTGCCATTATTTTTTAGAACAGGGACACTGATACACTCCGGGCACTTCAATTAAAGCAGCTCTCAGAGCTGCTCTAATGTGCCCCCTGTCCCCACTACCACCTCCCAGACCACGTCTATAAATGCATAGTGTCTTTTTGTTATTATTGGTAGCAGGTAGGATTAAAAAATGGCAAATCTGTGATGTAAGAGAGAAACTTTATTTCCAATTGCTGTGAAGGATGGTGATGTATATCATTGCACCAAAACTAACAAATAAACATTGTTTTAGGATAGTTATCTAGTATAACCCCAATAAAAAAAAAACAAAAAACATTCATTCTAGTATGTGATCTTCCTTCAAGGTATCATGATATCTTTTTTTTGCCCTGAGCTTGGAGATTTGCTACAAATGGCAAAACAATTAGTGAACCTTTAAGAAAAAAAAAAAAAATCAACCTTATAATATTTCAAGCAGTTGAAATGACATCGCTAATCAAACTCTCTCACTTCATTAAAAACAGAATTCTGAACATAGCTTTATATTCTTCCAAGTCATTCAAACCTTGTTTTATCATAGCTCACTCTAATATATTTTGAAAATCACACAAACTTTTGATCAGCACAGCAATGATTCTGGAAAAGATTCTTTTTTTTTTTTCTTTTACAGGCCCTCCAGTTAATGTCACATGCAACATTTTTATAAACAGCTTTGGATCCATTGCAGAAACAACCATGGTAAGGCATTTTACCTGAAACAACATTTTAAAGTTCAAGTTCAACTAATTTAATGAGCTCAAGAACAAATTAAGGCCTCTTTTCTGTTGGAGCAAAAAGAATCTCTCTCTTTGATAAAGAAAGAACATTTAACTCAGTAGTAGATTTAGGTGATAGAAAATCTATCGTTTTATAGTTACCATGCTAGAGGATATATCTAAAATGATAAGGCCCTTTTCATGCCTTCACTGCTGTCTGTCATCAAATTCATGGTTTGTAATTTTTATATTTGAATAATAAAAGTTATTAAAGCTCCATAGCCTCCATCAAAAGTTATAAATTATCGAATGTCATTATTAACTACATTGTTATGCTATTATATACAACAGATGTGTAAAAGATGAAGACACACACTTTAAACAAAGAAAATTTTGATTTTACAGTGATATTATATGTGGTATATCATAATTAAACATTGCACCAATGTATAGAATGTTATTGTGAAGTTCTAAATAGGGTACATAGCATTTAAATTTACCCTGACTCTTTGAATAGATTGATGATTGGACTATCATAGGAAAGCCAGAGGATATAGTACAAAAGCTGGTTGGAGTCATGAAGGAAATTACAAAAAAAATGAAACTTAAAAATCAGTAACAGTATAACCTGTTTATATATAAGGTTTATATCTTTAAGCCTGTGAAACTCAAATGAATCAGAATGAAGAAATACCTTAATAAAGTACAGAAATGTATTTTGAGGATAGTAATGGAGAATGTGTGGAGAAGATGGAACAAGGAATTGCAGAAAATCTAAAAAGAACCTACACGTAAATGTAGTATTTACTTGTATACCACGTCCCTGAATATGTAACAAACCCTGTTTTAGTAAAGTAGAATTAAGAAAAAAATTCTAGACTTTTACTGGCCATAGCTCAGGCTCACTATGACTGAATTCTCCTAACCATACGGAGTAGCTGGCATTTTCCAGGGTACATTTTGAACCTAACAAGTACTGCCTTGATTTTAATAAGGTTGAGAACCACTGTTCTAACTAAACCAAGCAGAGCAAAATACAAATTAGGGAAGTCATAAATATTTATCTGGAAGTGCCTCTGACATTTAAACCATCAGTACTACAATGGTGTATACACCTAATGTGTCTAGTTTAAAGATGTTAGCCTATACCTTTAGCAAAAACAGCTATAAACTCTATTATATCAATGTACTGGAAATCTATACTGTATATGCTTTTTTTATAGTGATCAAAATCTCTGAGTTCCATCTGCTGTTTTGGTTATATATTACACAAGGAACAACTGACTAAAGTTAAAGATGGTATGTTAGACCAGTCGCCCACATTCTTTTAATGGCAGAATGAGCCCTGATACAAATCATTGCACCTCTCATACTACACACATAATATTTGTTACTCAAATTGCCAGTTGCTCAAATCACAAGCAAGACTTTATAAAGGACGATAAGGCAAGGTGCCGCGTTTATTGATCACATGAGTTAGACAGAGGTTCAGATGCACCATTCATACAAACACACACAAATCATCATACACATCATTACACACAGGCATACATATAAACAAAACAACCATTTATATCCACACATACACCAGATATAGTTACCAGCAATAGTTTCTCAATATCACCCCAGGGTGGCCAGCTCGGGCTTATTGAGTAGATGATGATGATTTGAAGATAGCAGATTTGAAGATAAACAGCTGGAGCAGGGTGAACAGATGCATCTGTGCTCTGATGAAACAGTAGTACAGAAAGAGACTCATCCAACTTGGCATTTTCAAAGTTTTTCTTTATAGGGATTGGCATCCTTTGTTTCAGTTCTTTGGGGTTTTTCTATACCCAGTTTCTATTGTTGTGGTTGTTCTTCTTCTGTCTTACTTTAGCCTTGGAGCTTACTTTAGCTTTGGAGTGTTCTTGCTGCACATCTGGCTGGATGGGTGCATTCCTTCTCTTCGTTATCTTCTTTGTGCTATAGGCCTAAAAGGGATTCTTCAGCCATTCATTAATTAGTTTACTGACTGGTAATTTACATTTGGCTCTTTGTTGCTCACATAAACATTTAAATCTTCTTCTCCTGTCTCTATGCCATTCTCTCACTATTCACCCTTTTACACGTGC